CACTCGGAGAACGAGTGACGCTTCTGTAACAAGTCCATGTTGACATTCTTTGTTACTTTGTTACAGACTGGGTAAACAGTGACCACTCATCTCACGATTTGTGTATGAGTTCTGGGCGGGGCTTATGGGTTATGAGGGATCACACGCTTACCTCACCAGCAGCTGAAAATTGGTAGCTATTGGTCAACAGTGGGAGGGGCCAACGCAACATGATCGGTTGGAGGGACTACCTAACAACAACGACAGGTGATTGAATTTTGACAGCTCGCCCACAACGCCAGGGGCCAATGCACAATTTATGATAAAACGTAATGGAGTCACTAAGGTGACCGTCTTAGACAGGTATTATTGCTTAGTATGATAGGGGTTGTGTGTTAAATTATGGTGGCCGCGGCCGCGTTGGACAGGTGCCCGTTTACACAGTTAAATTATATAGAAAAAACACAAGGGGGGAAATGGAAAGTGGCCGTTTGTACAGGTGGCCGTCTTATAGAGGTGGCCATCAGGGCAGGTTCGACTGTATAAGAATATAGACTTCTTTTTTGGGAGGGGGCAGGGGGTTCGTGTTTTACAGCGCTCGCAACTGCATAAGGTCATAGGAGCCCGTGGAACACATTAAACATTTTCAGTTGGTAGGAAATTTTGAATTGTGCCTGGGTGGCAGCCGAAGCCTACTCTTATCGATTCTGGACCACCAAGGGATTTTTAACGTGCGCAGCTTGTACACGGGACCTCCAAGATTTTTCGCCCTTGTCTGAGAAGGCTAGGTGTTTATCTTTCCTTCCAGAAGATCAGGGGTGTGGCTGAAAAACAGCAGTAAGAAGGAGCCAAGGAGTAGCAGCAGAAAGAGTCAGGAGCCAAAAGGAGAGGGCAAAGGGGGTGAGGGGGTGGGGACAGAAAGTGGAGATGAAAGCAGACGACAAAACATTGCTACAGAGCAGGAAAGTAAGTGAAAGCAGGAAATTTTAGAGAAAAAAATTTTCTGGCGCTATCCAGATTCAAACCCACAACCTATTAACTCTTTTCCTACCAGGCCAAAATCCACCACTGGCCCACGGCTTTTCCCTGACCTATTTTTACGCCCCTACCCCACCAAAGAAAAATGTCAAAACATCCAACTAAACACACACAAACCATATCATATGGCCCTTCAAACTGAAGGTTAAAAAATAATCTATCAGATGGTGATACAATATTGAAGATTTATTCCAATTATATTAGTTTGGGGCTTCTTAAAGTGATTATGCAATATCGAAGGTGTCATATGAAATCAACAATTTTCCAGCTTTGAGAGGTCATATCTAAAAAAGTACAACAGCATCATTCAAATTTCCCAGGTAGGTTGCCTCAAGTAATGCAAAGAAAAACTGAAAGTTATGTATGTGTACCTAATATAGAAGTGAAAATATGAGACATATACTGAAGTCAGGGGAGCTCTTTTTTCCTCTTTTTTACGTTTCGAAGGGGACCAAAAAAAAGCCCTGAAATGACTCAAAATCGTCTCTCAGTGCTATATTTTCTTTCGTATCTGCTAACAGGAAGTCTATTGTATTATTTTGAAAACGTGGATCGGCCAAGAATTTTGTGTCTTTTCAGATACCAAGCGACTCGAGCCGTATTTTGCGGTTCTCGGTCTAGCGAGGCCACTTCCGCGAGCCGCATTTAGGGAAAGTGTTAAATGAGAGGTGACACCTGAACTCTAGACCACGACAGACATAGATTTCATGTTTCAAGGCAAAAAGTAAGTATTTTCTAGATTAAACAATTTTGAGAGTTCTCATGTCAGCTTCACTCACCTGTCATCCAGGACATGGACATCATGTTTACAAATGCCAAGCACTTCACAACTCTTCAAAATCTCTTTCTTGCGTACTTCTCCCTGACCATAGTAATTACCTGTAGAAATGAACAACAACAAAAAGAAATTCCCAGTAGAAGAATACCATCACAATCACCTTAAACAAGACAATGCCCCCCACTTCAGACTTCATGTAAATTGGATAAAAACGAACAAGAAAAAGGGAATATCCTTAGCATGAGACATTGATGATAAAAGTTCACAAAAATAAATACCACATAAAGGTAACTCTAAAAAAAAAAGAAGAGACAAAGAAAGATGGATATGGGATGAAAGAAGAAGGCTGCAGGACATGGAAAAGGGGTGGGGGAGAGGGGGAGGGCACAGGGCATTTTATATTAATGGAGAATAATTTTAGAGTAGATGAGTTTAGACATTTATTTTCGGAGTGATTATCCCTACGATTGTGCGAACAACACTGTACGCACAATTGCTATATAATTGTACGAATAATTGCTGCAGTTATCCGTACAATAGTACATGCCCACAGGCCTACATGTTTCTGTCATAGTAGATCAGTGTTTAAAATTTTCCGCCAGTGGAAATTTTTTAATTTTCCGCCAGACCCCATCAGGCGATCCCAAGCCCGTTGCCTCATTGATGGTGTCCCTCCATGTAAAAAAATCTATGTCCAGATCTAGATATCTGTGCTGCGTTGAAACTGTGCCGTAAAAATATTTAAGCTTAATCTACCTTGTTGTTCTGTTGATAGTTCTGATGTCTGAAATGACAGCGTGTCTGCGTTTGAAGGAGTGCATGATTATATATAAATGAGTGTGGGATCGAATCCCGGTCCCGGAAAGTTTTGTTTTTTTACCTCTCTCTCCTCCCTTGACTAATCAACAATTTTTTCCCATAATTGTTTGTTTTGACTTCAAAGATTTCCACTCACAGTTTTGTGTAAAAGCAAAGAAACATAATAGTAATAGTGATAATTATAGATCTACTTACTTATTATATTCTAATAAAAGTATACTTTTTCTTTTAGGCCCACCAATTTAGGCCTGATTAAAGTAAATATTAATATTGATGCTCAACCCAGGGCAGAACCAACTGGATCTCTCTCTCTCTCTCTCTCTTCTGGCGCTGTGGCGTCATAAACGGTCAGCGATGCCGACAGCACGCAGGAACTCAACACTTGCCTGGGGGTCCTTAAAAAGTGCTGAAAGAGGGTTACTGAAATATACCAGCAGACGGGTAACCAACTGGATGACTAGATCTAGGCTTATTTATACCAACAACCTCCAAAATTCTAATAATAGTCTGAATAACTTTGTCTGGTTATTGGTACAAATGTACTAATAACTAGTTAGGAGTCGTACGCACTATTGTACCAATAACCGCAGCCTTTATCTTAGAGATAGATCTAGATCTACATGCAACTAAACGTAGAACGAAGCACACTATTTTTTACCCATAATTTGATATTTTATAGTTAGATCTAGATCTAGATCTAGATATCTAGATTCAAGATTTGAAATTGTCTTGAAAATAATTGCTTTGGCTTTGCAACAGTTTTAGTGGCTTTGTGATCTGCAGCAAACAGTACAGCAGTTTGACCCCTGAAACAGTGCATCTGTGTGCGGGAGTGAAAGTAAAAATTTACCAATAAATCATTCATAAATTACAGAATCGAATAATAACCAGTGATGAGAGGGTTTCCTTCTCCTACTACTCGGTTACCTGTAGTTACACAAACGACTGATAAAGAGTTCACAGTTCCAAGTTCGAGAAGAGATGGCGCAAAGAACATGCATTCATCATCGGGATGGGCAGTGATGAGAAGAATATTTTGATTATGTGGGATTCTTTTGTTCTGATACACGAATTGCACAGAAATATATAAGATGCAGGATATAGTGATGTACAGTAGGAGCAATAACTTTAGGTAGTAAAAGCTGTGAAATTCGACGATCTCTTCCATGGGGGCAGCCATTTTCTGTTTCGTTCTCATTTGCATATGTCGTAAAACCATTTCTCGTTTCTTTGAAGGTTTTTTTCTTTATCTATGGCAGTCATATCAATATTAGTTATATCATGGAGTTGTATGAATTACATTTTATGCATAGAGTATCTATTGTGAAAATCATATCGACAGCTGCAATGAAAGAAAGCCGTAAAATAAAAACAACCACATCCGCATCCTAGCAACAGCGTCGTCCATGTTCTTTCAGATTGGATCGTAGGTTTGCCTCCAGTGGGGACTTCAGGCGTTCACAACTTGCAAAATGGCAGATAACGAAGAACAACAGCAGGCAGGAGATGTCGATGAAGCAAAAGTGGAAGGTATGTCTGCTTTATACATGCTAACTATTATTGTGAAACTGGTTGAAATGACAAGAGACTTGGGTAGGTCTTTCACCCACTTTCTTCTGTGACGGCACCAGTGCGATAGACGCGATAGTGATCTTATACTTTAGCAGTTAAATTCTTCAATTGATTTTATTCCCTTTTCCGTAACGAGCGACCACTTTAAAACAGGATCTAGATCTATCTAATCAAGATTATACTCACTTGCTTCCAAAATCACAATGGAAGAACGAAAACCACTGTTATACCATCCGTTCATGACAAAATTACGGTAGTTAATTGCGCATTTTTAGGCCCAGTTCAAAGTTTTGAAGGTCTGAGTCAGGGATTAGTAGACTTTGGGAATTTAACGTGCTTAAGTATAAGATCACCTGATAGACTAGCTACCCATACCAGGCTGCCTTTAAAAACTCTACAATGTTTGATAAATCTAGTTTTTTTTTTACAGCTTATGTATTTATGTACAACTAAGTTAGCTGTACATATAGCAGAGCAGTCTGGACGAAACAAAGTTTTGCATGCATTTATATTCATCTATAAATGCATATATGTGTCTCATTTCATTATACCTGGTATTTTAATTCTTAATTAATCACAATGCTCTAATGAACGAGTTAAATTTCTTTTGTATTAGTCTGTATAGGGACACTTGTTGTTGTGCTGAATTCCCTTTACTACCACTGAATGGCTCAAGTGTTTATATATTCTAGGTGCTTTACATAAGTGCATGGTTTACATATATTATAGGGCCTAATAATAATAATACTGTCAACTTTTCTCAGAATAAAGATTGAAGCTTAATCAAAATCACTTTTGCTCTGATCATAGCTTTATGATTGACTTTTATACCTTCTGGCATTTGGGGGTGCTTTTTGTGCCTTTTAGGTTATCAATTTATTTCTTATAGTTTGAGCAGTGGCTAAGCAGGATATCAAAATATCTATTATAAAACCCAGACATACATCCTACAATTAAGGTCAAACAGAACATATTTTGATCCCCATCCAGACACAAGAACTAATGCATTTGTTTTTATTTTTCCAATCTTAGAGTGTTAACCATAAGAGAAATCAAGCTTGCAGACACGAGAATATACTTTGTGCCTGCGCTCGACATTCTAGACTGATATGTATTTTCAATTCTGAATATTTTTACATGTCATATTTATTGGTTCTTTTAAAGGGGTTGCAACTTGGGTTTGGAAAAGTTTCATTGAAAAAGTTTAATTTCTCAGTCTGAAAGATGTGAAGAGATGAAGTTGCAGTGGATATTTGCTACTTCTTATTTTTCAACAGTTGCTTTACGTCATTGGTGCAGTATGTATTGCTGTTCATCTCAATGTCAACAGATTATTGTGTCTATAGGGGATTACCTTCAGCTTATTAATTATTCCCAATTCAATATATTTCTGTAGAACACTGGACACTGTTGGCAGTGATGTTCTATGTGCTGGCACTTTTTGAGTAAAATGTACTCATGTGTGATTGTGGCTCCGTATCTCTTCAAATGACAGATCAAAATGGAGAGCAACAAGAAGCTAACCAACAAGAAGCCGACCAAAATCAGTCAGCTGAAGCAGCCAAAGATAACTCAACAGAGCAAGAGCCTGTAGAGGAAGAGGGCACTGGTGAACAAGGTAGTGATTTTCTAGATGTATTCCCAATATAGTAAATATATATATATATATATATATGTATATATATAATACAGTCAAACTTGCTCAAGGCAAACATCTTGTCAAGGAGTAAAATGGTCATTAATCAGGTGGACCATGCCTGTATGATACTGGAAAAATACAAGGTTGGAAGTAGAAAGTGTTTGGGTTTTTTTGTACATCGTAAAAAGATCTTGAACAGGCGATTGTCAGAGCAGGTTTGACTGCATTTTTCACAGCTCAAATTGCATGTGTATATTTTTACATGTTGTGATTTTATTCACATTTTGTTTTTTTGTGTTTTTTTAAGTGGCATCTGTAATTCATGGTTGTTTTAACATTTATTTTTTTTTGCTGGCCTGTGCGCATTTTTCCCTATTTCAAGGCAGAATGTATAGTATGTATGAGTTTTACTTGTTTACTGATTTAACTCATGCACTTTCACTCCAAACTTCTCAATGTGAGTTTTCCTGATTTAAAAATGGTTTATTTCAGAGGACTTGATCTGGAACATTTATTTTGCTATTTTCAAATCAGAGTTTAAAGCAAAGCAAGTTTTTTTAATTGCTCAAATCAATGTTAAGCCTACTATGGTGAATATTTTTATACACTCTGTGCACATCACAATTAAAATTTATTCTTTTCTTTTGAAAAATTGTGAATTCTATCTTGATCTTGATCCAGGATTATTGTTTTTATGTTGTGTCTTAGAGAAGGTTGGTCTTTCTTTAGGTAGGCCTATTTTAAGTTGACTTCATATTGCTTTGACTGTCAAATCTATCAAATGGCACCTAAGATTTTGTTTTTGTTGATTGATGAATTTAATGTCTCTTTTTCCCTTTCTTGAATTAATCTGTTGTTTTTTTATTTGTTTTACTCCTGAAACAATTTTCTGCATTTGTCTTTTGCAATTTTTTATTTAGTCATAGCTTTTTTTCGAGCTTTTGAACAGTTTGTACTCTATGAGAATGCTGACAAACCTCATTGTAAGCATGAAGGTTTTTAAAAATAAATACTGTTTGAGATTTAGCAAGAGTGAGGATTCTTTTAATTTTCTAGTTTTATTATATTTTAATTGAAATAACTTTATCATTTTTGATAAGCTGTAGCAGAAGGAGAGGAAGCTGGCGAAGCTGCCAGGAACGACCAGCAGTTGGAAGACAATGAACGCAATCTAGAGAATGAAGAACAAGGACTTGTGGATGACGAGGTTGTGAAAACTGATGGTCAAACTGAAGATCAAGAATTGATACCTGAAGATAGTCAGCAACAAGCAGAAGCCAGTCAAGGTGATGATCAACTTCAGACTGAGGGTGAAATTGAACCTGACACAAAAGTGGAAGAAAATTCTGAGGCACAGGAAGATGCTGATGATGGAGGGGCAAAACAAATGGAAGAAACAGGCAAAGAAGATAGTGAAAAAGAAGAAAAAGTAGGAGAAGAAATTACCCAAGGCCAACAAGGGCTGGAAACTGAAGCAGATGCAGAGCAATCTAGAGACACAGAAACAGTAGAAAATGAAGATGCTCAAGAAGATCAACAGAAAAATTTGAATCAAGAAATGGAAGAAGATTCTAAAGAGCAAGAAACTGAAAATATCACAGACAATGTGCAAGGTGAAGAGGCAAAAGAGGAAGATCAAGAAGCTGTACAAGAGGACGACGATGAGCAGGAGGAAGAGAAAGTAGAAGAAGCAGATGGGCAAGAAATCACCGGTGAACAAATAGAAGCTCCAAACATCCATCCTGATGAAGCTGTTGCAGAACAAGCGTCTCAAGAAGAAGGTACATCACAATTTTTGAATACCAGGATGTAGAATTTCAGTTTGTAAAAAGGAAGAATAGCCACCCACCTTCCCCC